TGAGAACAGGGTGCTGAGGAGAATATTTGGACCGAAGAGGGATTAATAGGAGGTTGGAGCAAATTGCTTCATAAGTTGTACTCTTCACCAAGTATAATTAGAGTGATGAAGTCAAGGAGGATGAGACTGGCAGGACGTGTAGCATGCATGAGGAGAAGAATTGATACAGAGTTTGGACGGGAAATCCAGAAGGAAAAATCATCATTAGGAAGACCTGGTCGTAGGTGGAAGGATAATATTAAAATGTATCTTAGAGAAATAGGATGGTGTGGTGTGGACTGGATTAGTCTGGCTGAGGATAGGAACCTGTCGCTGGCTCTTGTGAACACGGTAATGAACCTTCGGATTACATTTGGGAAATTCTTGAGTGGCTGAGTGAATGGTGGGTTCTCAAGATGGCTTCGGCTACATGAAGTCAGTTACGAGAATGTTGTTCTAATAACCTTAGCAATAAATGGAGTTTCTTTGTGATTTCACACACTCTACCCGTTCGAATCAGGAACCCATGCATCAGGCAACATAGAACCTAGCTGCATATTTCCCTGATACATTTCACAAGCTGCTTCGTGATTTTCAGTTACGGTGTTCTATAGAGGCCGTGCCATAGCTCAGACGGTTAGTGGCTGGCTTCCCACCACGGCAGCTCGGGTTCGAGCACAGGTCTGGGCATGTGGGATTTGTGATGGACAAAGGCGCTGGGTCAGGTTTTCTGCGAGTACTTTGATTTCCCCTGCCAATCTTCATTCTACCAATTGTTCCACAGTCACCATCATCTATCTTCTAGGGCTGGTACAATAGGCCAGTAGTGGCCGCAATACCAAGTGGACTCACCCCCTTGAGAACAAAATAATAATAATAATAATAATAATAATAATAATAAGGTGTTCGATCCCAGAGACCGGTTGCATTTGCCGAGGGCTGAGCCTACACAAGCTGTTGCAGGGCAGTCACAGACATGGCACCCAGTACTTAACTTGGATACTTGGCAATGTGTGGAAAACGACCCCTGCTATTTCACGAAGGCGAGTGGGGGCGTGAAAGTAGCCTTCATTCTGTTTGGCTGATTCACCCCTAATGGGAAGAGCCACGACATCCAGTGAATAGGAAGCAGGGTGGGTCCCAGAGGGTCATTTTGGACGCCATAATTAAATGAAAGTTCCCTACTCTTGCCCAGAATTGAACTTCCAGCCCACAGCGACTTTAATATCCCATCTCAAGGGTACTACAGGAACGACATGGGTAAAGGTAAAGCTGTCCCTGTGCTTAACTAATTAAGCACTATACCTTGAAGACGTATTGGGGAGTGAATGTATACAGCCACGTATTCTTGACCTCGTCAAGCTTCGGCTGTTTTATCCCGTTGGAAAGAGCCTCCGGTATCCATTGAATACGAAGTTTTGTAGACCCCAGAGCCGGTCTGGACGACGTAGAGAGGAAAAAAGATCTTGACGTTGCCGGGACTCGAACTTCGACCCCTTGGCCTTCCAGCCCATAGCCAGTCGCTATAACAAATGAGCTATCCCAGCACATATAGTGTGGGTATACCTAGGGTAATGTGAGGCCACGCCATATCTCAAGCAGTTAGTCGCTGGCTTCCCACCGCGGCGGCCCGGGTTCGATCCCGGTTCTGGTCAAGTGGGATTTGTGGTGGACAAAGTGGCACTGGGGCGGGTTTTCTTCGAGTACTTCGGTTTCCTCTGCCAATCTCAATTCCCCCAAATTCTCCATCATCATAATCACCCGGGGCAGGCTACAATAGGCCAGTCAGTGGCCGCCGTGCCGAGTGGACCCAGCTGGACTCCACCCCCCACTAAGCGAATTAAAAAAAAAACGGTAATGTGATGTCACCGTTTTCCATTTGGAAGACTACATTCAGCGTGATGATGATTGATGATTAATTGGGTAATGAGGGTGCTCGGGACGCTAGCCGAAGGCTGAAAACTTCCTTCCCGAGACCCGTGCTTTGTTGCTTATGTGCACGGTTATAGGTGTATTCCCGTGCATCCAGCAACAAAACATCATGTTGTAAGGGGCATTTCAGCTGTAGTCCCTCTGCTAAACAGGCCTACAATTTGTTAAATGTAGCCTAATTAGACCTAATTATGACCGCCCTACCCGTTTATTTGTTCCATTATTTACTTGAATTAAAATACCCCGACCAATGTATGCTGTTTCTTCACTAGCATTATTTCAAAATGTTGAGATGCGTTGGATGTGCAGCACGAATTTGAGATATGTGAAATATTTATGGGAAAATTTGAACAGAATACGCCATTTCGAAGACCTAGGTATTGAAGGGGTAATATTAAAGTGGATCTTGAAGAAGTAGTGTCTGAGGATGCAGACTTAATTTAGCTGGCTCTGATAGATTCCAGTGGAGAGCTCTTCCTAGTATGGCAAAGGACATTTGGTTTCCATAAAAGACTGGAATATCTTGACTGCCTGAGCGACTAGTAGCATCTCAATGGAATTAGTTTGTCTAGGAATATAAGAGCTAATCTGAAGAATTGGCCTTTTTTAATTTAATTAAAGTAATATGGTCGAAGTAGACAAGTATACCAACCACAGCAATGGTACAACAGGACCAGTATACTAATTACGTCAGAAATGTACTGGTTTGTTTTAGGAACAGGAGTAAACCCTCCCCGCCCCAACCCAAATTGTGGCCTTGAAGATGCGAGCTGGATTGGTTCCCATCCAAGTTATCCAATTACAGTCTGTTGGTGCGCAGAATGGGGATAAATGACACACAAACAGAGTTCTTTTTGTGTTGGTTCCGCTTCCCGCCCGGGTTGTTGAGAACAAGGGCTCTACGCATGTGCACAAGTTCCTCAATAATATTGAACCAATCGTGAGCAACGTTACATGAAGGTTTCTCCCATTGGCTGCTCTTTCCTTCGGCTGCAACTAAGAGACAAATACCGTTAGGCTGTTATGAAAATTCCCTACTTCTGTGGATATTTTATTTTCCAGAATTTTATGGAGATTCACACCGTTTCTGCAGTTAATCCAATACTAGAATAGTGTGAAATTGAAACGCTGGACCAGTATAAATCGAAGATGGGAAATTGGAAAACTTATAATTCCAGTACGTGTAGGGGAGCTTCCCTTTAGTCTGCTAAGTTAATCCTTCGCCCCCCCCCTCCTACTCGGTCACATCGCTCATAGGGATAACATGTATCATAGCAACGGTTGCGTACACTCCGCCCACAGATCACTTTTGGACTTGCTCTGTGTTGCTCTGCTGCCATTGGGCGTGCCTTTAGCCAATAGGGAGAGTGAAAGGGGGAGGGAAGCGAGACATTTCTGTGAAGCTAACCATGTCGGCCCCTTTCCTCGCACAAAGATAGATAGTTTTAAGCAGTGAAAATACTCCGGCATTTTGAGAACTCCTAAGGATTTCCTTCTTTGGTTTAAAATAGTTTTAAAACGTGTAGTGACTGTAGTAATTGTGAAAGTTATGTAAGTGATCCTGAATTGAAGACTGAATCATGATGAACCAATGTTGTGTGTTCTGTGTGGCTGAAACTGTTTAGTTTGTAAGTTTGACTGTAGAGGATTTGGCTAAGGATTGTCATATCGGTAAGTACAATTTGTGTGTTCCTTCAAGATGGTGTTCTTGTTTCGTTCCACTAATCATGCCTTCCAGGTCAACGTGCATGTTGGTCCGGACGGGTTCATTCCGCTGTTGAGTGGTAGTGTAGGGGTGTAGGCAGAATTGTATATGGTGGACTGTTGATGGAACATTTCTGGACTAAATTACAAAGGGACAGTTACATGCTCTTTTTTTTTTTTTTAATTTCACCAATCATTATGCGCCCTTTAGACTGTAATAACAAGTGTGTTGAAATTTGTCGCTTCGCAGCTTAATGTTTACATTTTTATGAACATATTATATGCAATACATTATGTAACCCAAAATTTATATTTTAATATTTTTAGTGAATGTTGAAGGATGGAAATGAAATTGTATTTAGCTTATCCCTATCCAGTGTACAGCCAAAGCTTACGCAATGACAATAAATCCAAGCCAGTGTATTCATACGTTGGAGGTTATTAATTTTACCCTGCACACAAGGAGGGAGTTTGCGAATAAATTTGAAATTTCTGGTTTTATGCACACTGAATTATTCCTAGTTTTACAATTCTGACGGTCTTGCCCAGCCTGCCAGTTTAAAGGGCAGGAAGCAGGCTTACGTTGCAGTTAAGATGGCGGAGCAAACGAGTGTTGCGTTCCATTTACGCCAGACTCCACCGTGTATAGGGGTACACCGAGAACGTGTAAAATATAAATTTCCTCATATTTATCATTGTATTTCATGGAATTATATTCGGCTCCTTTGTATGGTTACGAGTGAAACTATACAGTAGACACAGGACATGTCAGTAGAAGTATCATTTATTAAAACTTGACGTGGTAAATGCATCTCGGCCGGATTGAGACTGATGATACGGTGTTGGATGATTTGACGTCATGATAAATTTGTATTCTTGTACTGTAATAATTAAACTTGACTCGGCGTATGTTTTTGATTTTGTAAATGTTATTTTTATGTCTGACTAATTTTTTATGCCTCACCCGTTTCTCACACTTGAAACTAGGAAACAATAGACCCTAACCAATAACAGTGAGTTTCACAATAACACTGAGAGAAGAATGAGTTAAGGGAATATTTGTTGCTACTATGCTCAGTCTCGTCCATTCCTCCAGAAAACAATTAATTCTGTCAGTTTTATACACCACGTCCTATTGCGAAGAAGTAACATATATTGCTGAGTTCTGAAAGTCTCTTAGTATGAGAGAAGAGCAAAGCACCCAGGAAAATATTTGGACCCGTGAGACTGGAAGTTGTTACATAACAAGAAAGTTCGTAATTAATAGCATATGTTTCATATAATGGGACCCCACTGGAAAGTGACAACTTGGAAGACCAAAAAGGGGATGTGAGGGTAATTTTACAATGGATCTTACGGAACTAGGTTGAGCGAGGCAGACTTACCATACTGAGAGTGATCTTCGGCGTTGAATCTTAGACTTTATGGAAGTGGTAGCAGCAGTAGCTAACTACCCGCTGGCCTGTGTTACTGGAAACGCTTTTCCTCGAACGCAGACAGCATCGAAATATTTTCTGGAGCCTGGAAACACGAAACACAAACATACGCACTGGTGTTAACAAATATATCGGATCTCTGTGCGACTTTTACGAACATTAGATTGAAATTGGATGTACACGGTTTCTCAGACAGTTGTCTCTTGGCATTCGTGGTGGCCTCATAACACAGTGTTCACGGCGAATATAGAACAGTTGCCTTTAAACCTGAAGTGCAGATTCGGCAGGCCGAAGCGGAGTTACACGGGCCTATTGCCGGCAGTGGGCGTCGCCATCTGCCGAGAAACTGAGTGCCGAACCGTCGGTAGTATGATGTTTCTGTGCGCTACACTGCGCACTGATACACTGCACTGCTATTCTGGCGTACGTTTGCTGTGTCTGCTTTCTGAAAACTTTTCAATTTTAATCAGTTCAGCACTGGATTAAAAATGAATGATTGAGAATTATACGTGCTTGTTCTGCCTCCTGGAAGGAAGGAAGGAAGGAAGTGCAGATAAGAACCAGGAGAGTCAAGTCCTTTTAGGCCTATTTGTTTTCAAATATCGTCCAGTTCTTCATACTGTGATTTCCCTTATTTTAGCCTCGATTCTTGGTTAAACAACGCTTTCAGTTGTTCAGATTACAGGCTACGCTACTCTGGTAAGGAGGTTAGTCGAGAAGTAAATGCAGAGAAAACTGGAAGTATATGTTGCTGTCTCGTCACCAGACTGCAGGGCAAAATCATGACATAAGGATAGCAAATAGATCTTTGGAAATATCTGAACTGTGGTTCAGATATTTGGGAACGGCTATAACAAATCAAAACCTGATTCAGGAGGAAATTAAGAGGAGGTTAAACTCGGGTAATGCTTACTGCCATTCAGCTAAGAAACTTTTGTCTTCTAGTCTGTTGTCTAAAAACATACAGATGAGAATATACAAAACCACAATTTTGCCTGTGGCTCTGTATGGGTGCGAAACTTGGTCTTTGACATTAAGGAAGCAACACAGACTGAGGGTGCTGAGGAGAATATTTTAACCAAAGAGTGATGTAATGGGAGGTTGAAGGAAATTGCATAAAAGAGGGAATTCATAACTTGCACTCTTTTCAAAGTATAATCAGAATGATCAAGTCAAGGAGGATGGAATGGGCAGGGTATGTAGCATGTATGGGGGAGAAGGTGAAGTTATCTCTGTGATTAACTAATTAAGCACTATACCTTGAAGGCGTATGGGAGAATGGATGTATAGACCCTCAGTTTCTTGATCTCGGCACTCGTTATAGGTGAATGGTCAGCTTCACGCCCCGGCCACTTTACGGAAGAGAAGAATGCATATAGGATTTTGGTTGGAAAGTAAGAAGGAAAGAGACCACTAGGAAAACCGAGACATAGGTGTGAGGATAATATTAAATTTGATCTTACAGTAATAGGATGGGGCAGTATTGACTGGATTGATCTGACTAAGGATAGAAGCCAGTGGGATGGTTCTTGTGAACGCGGCAGTGAACATTCGGATTCAGTAAAACGTTGGGAAATTCTTGAGGAGCTGAGCGACAGGCGGCTTCTCAAGAAGGGCGCAGCTCCATGGAGTTATGAATGATGTTTTTTTTAATTGCTAGTGGGGTGCGACTAAGTCCCTTCAACTGCGGCCACTTCTGGCCAATTGTACCAACCCCAGATGATAGGTGAGGGTGACTGTGGAATGAAGATTGGCAGGGGAAACCGAAATACTCGGAGAAAACCTGCCCCAGCGCCACTTTGTCTACCACAAATCCCACTTGACCAGACCCGGGATCGAACCCGGGCCGCCGCGGTGGGAAGCCAGCGACTAACCGCTTCAGCTATGGCACGGCCTGTGATGGGTTTAGTGAATAATGAATTGAAAGGATGTGGAAGGAAGCGATGAGGTTCGATTTGAGATACGTTCGCGGTATTTCCTCCAGGCACTGAGAAATTCTGTGAACAACTTAGTCACGATAGCAGCCACCACGTGGTGGTTTGAAACGGGAACAACTCTTAACACAGTATTAACAATCCATTTCACTGTCTCGTAGTGTCGGTACAAACCAGCAAATTACGCATACTGAGCAGCAAGAAGTCACGGCTACCAAAACCAATACCATTAAGCACACACATAAGCCTATAGTATTATGGCGGACGAACTTGAGCGTGCTTGAGGCTAGTTTCAGAGCAGGAGCTGGTCTGGAGGGGGGAGGCAGTGTTGCAACATTTTGTGTTCGTTGTAAAGCCAGCTGTGTCCGCAACACGACGCTGTTACTCCAATCTCGTCCTCTTCATGTTTCGGTAGCACTTGGCCACGAAGCTGCGCCTTTCGTGAGAAGCCGCCTGTCGCTCAGCTCCTCAAGAATTTCCCATCGTTTTACTGAAACCGAATATTCATTGCCGTGTTCACAAGAACTATCCATTGGTTCCTATCCTGAGCAAAATCAATCCAGTCAATACTGCCCCATCCTATTTCTGTAAAATCAATTGTAATATTAACCTCACATCTATGTCTAGGTCTTCCTAGTGGTCTCTTTACGTCTTACTTTTCCACCTAAATCCTATATGCATAGAGTTTCGCTTATCCCGTCTTTTAAGTCTAGCGGTTTTCCAGCACAACGCAAGGAATTTTATTTGACCGGATGGACCAAGCTCCTGAAATTATGTTGCCTGCTCGTTGCTGTCACCTGTGGCACGTGATTCTGGTCCAGCCAATTTCATGCATTCATTTACTCATGGAGCTGAGCCCTGCAGAGCGTCAAAGAGAACATCAAACTCTCACATTTTAGAACTTAACACAGGTGAGGATAAACAGGCAAAGTTCTCCCTGTGATTAATTAATGAAGCAGTTGAGCACTACGCCATGAAGATGTATGGGGGAGTGGAGGCATAGCTCCACCATTCTTCACCTCGGCACCAGATGGAGGTGAGAATCTCTGTACCCGTTGGTGCATCACAGAGCCTGTCTGGACGCTATGGAGAAGAGAAAAATCTCTTGCCCCTGCTGGGAATCGAACCCCCGACCGTCCAGCCTAGCCCATCGCTGGACTGACTTCAGCTATGAAGGTTCTGACGTTAACACAGATGTTTCGTATTGCAGTGCTGTAGTACTAAACGTCACAGTCGAATCGGGCGCATCCCAGCGTCGTGTTTGGGAAGTCCCGTGTTCGAACCTCGGTCCATCTAGCCGCTGTCATGACAGAGAGTGTTCTTGATTTTCCTAGATGCCTGCAAACAAATGTTGAGATGTGCCTCGAATGAGGCTAGGACACACCTTTTCCAGTGAATTATTTTTCACCAATTTTGTTATTCCTTCTTATAAGGTAAATAAGAGACAAATGACTTAAATATTATTTCATATTACGCAGTTATGTAGTCTTCTCGATTTCCAGTTCTTCTAGAGCTGTTTTCTGTAACACTAACAGTGTTTTGCTTGTAGGATTTTACGTCCCCATAAGCTATGGTCATGAAGAGTTATCTTGTGGGATATCACGCCGTGTAGTCCGTTGAATAGTAAACCGACGTTTCGGAGAACTCGTCACCTCGATCATCAAGTTCGCCAAGCAAGAAATCGGCGTGAAGCTTAATTTCTGATTCGCGGAGCTTTCTTTCTTGTTCTTTTCTACTACTCTGAAGATGGAGGAGACGTGTCCTCCGAAACGTCAGTTCACTTTCAACGGACTACACGATATTATATTTCAGAACATAGAACTCTTCTTATTTTTTTGCTTCTTTTATTTATGTTTTGAGACTTGACATATCTATTCTTGTGTTATTTAAAGACGCTGTTTCAGCTACAGAGGTTGAACGACGTCGGAAAATGGAGCTAAGGTGACTAAGGTGAAGCGTAATTAGGATGGCTATACTAACCGGTACTTCCTGAGCGCTACCACGAAAAGGCTGCCCCTGTGCTTAAAGAATTAAGTGCTACGCCATGGAGGCGTATGGGAGAGTTGATGTGTAGATCCACATTTTCTTTACCTTGGCACCTGCTGGAGGTGAGTGGTCCGTTTCACGTTCCTGCCGCTTTACCCCTGGGGAAAAGCCCCCGGTACCCATTGGATAGGAGTTTGAGTGGGCAGAATTAGTTCCAGGATACGTATTGTTATCTTGGTGTTCATAAATTTATTAAGTTTTTTTTATTGCTAGTGGGTGGAACTAAGTCCCTTGTACTGCGGCCACTTCTGGCCTATTGTACCAGCCCCAGATGATAGGTGAGGGTGATTGTGGAGCAGTTGGTGGAATGAAGATTGGCAGGGGAAACCGAAGTACTCGGAGAAAACCTGCTCCACCGCCACTCTGTCCACCACAAATCCCACTTGAGCAGACCCGAGATCGAACCCGGGCCGCCGCGGTGGGAAGCCAGCGACTACTGGCGCGGCCCAGTTTATTAAGTTGTTTGTTGCTCTGTATTCAGATTGCCTGTAGATAAATCACTTTTCGGAATGAAACGTCAAATGCAACACGAAAGTGAAATGTGGGCGTGATCATGTGTCTTGTCTAGTGGTGTCCCACAGTCATGAAAATGACTTTTCCCAGCCGCCAGAGTAGACCTATAACTGACTGGCCAGTGTTTACTCCAGATGGGCAGTTCCGAAGGCAGTGCTCAGGTGATGTGGGTTCACTGTACACTTCACGAACAAAAAGAGAAGACTGAAGAAGGCCCGGTCGGGCAGCTGTTCACCTCCTGAACTCGGAATATAATCGACAGGGTTGCCACGTGTCACCGGCCGTATTTACTGCAGCATTTCCTAGGTTTCTGAAACCATGTCTAAAAGGAAGGGACAAGGTGATGGCCGTTCTGTATTCAAGCGAGGTGCCTTACCGGAAAGCTAACTAGTTTATTCTCAAAGTCAAAGTAACATTGCGACTGACGGTCGTTCAGTCAGTTAGTCATGGTGTCGAGCCCCATATGGGCTCATGACCATATATTTATTACTGTTTGACAGTTACGGTCTTGTTCTTGTGGGGCGCCCTCGCTGACGAGAGGACGGGTCTGTCTTTCGTCTATGCTGCTGGCTCTTGCCAGCGCAGTCTTTCTTGGGTCCTAGTCCCTTGGGACTCGCGATAATATTTTACTGTCTCAGATTTGAGACTTCCCTTTTCGTCGCCTCCAACGACTCGCAGGGTCACAGTAGAGGTATTCGACCCCGCCTCCACTCGGATTACTCAGTTCTGGGACGAACTGATCACCTACTTTCCTTAGATACTAAATGGGCCGCATAGAAAACGACGCGTGCAGCATTTCTTCTATTGTTGCGTGTGTATTCATTGCCGCAGTAATGTTTTCTTACGGAGCCGTTGCGTAGCAACGATAAGGGGATACACATACAGACACAGACCGATGGGAGGGATTTATGAAGTATACCGTTGAGGTGGGGCAGGTGCCATGATACAGTTTCACAAAGTCTGGTTCAAGTATTCAAAAGTTGATGGGGGGGGGGATTCACAGCCAGAGAATGTTGATCTTACAAGCCTACTTTCATTTTAGTTTTCAAAATAAGAAAACTAGGCTAAAAATCAGATTTAGGCCAATTGGTGTGATAACCGTCAATGTAATATATAGGCATATCACCAATAATCTGTGCACGTTTTGACCAATTTTCGTTAAATTCGTGGAGGTCAGTAGTGATCGGTCCGTATAATACAAAGCTGGGTCTGTGTTTAATAACGCCGCCATGAAGGCATGTTGGAAAGTGGCGGCATTGCTCCACGTATTCATGTCCACGGCGGTAAATGGAAGTGAGTTTTCAGTTTCACGCCCCAGCCTCTTCAACCGGGTAACAATTAAATACGAGGGTGCCCCCCCCCCATCCCCCAGAAATAGCCTGGGCGTGATGGTGAAAAAAAACAGGAAGTTCCAGTTTCTTTTGATACTACACGGATCGCATAGAAAACGTCTCCAATAATTCGTTTCCGCAAAAATGTCTTTACCGTCTTGCTACCTAGCAACGATAAGGGGATACACACAGACCCCCTCAAACTCTCATTTGATAAGATACGGACCTCATATAAAATGACGAGTCTATCAGTTCCTGTATTATTGCGTATATTCACTGCCGCCGTTGTCTTGCAGTGATAGACTGACCCGGGGGGGGGGGTTATGAAGCACGCCCCTGAGATGAATTCAGTTGCCATGATATACATACCAAGTCTGATAAAGATTCTTTCAAAATAAAAACTCCGTGGCCTGTAGTCCGCAAGCGGACTATACCGACTGAGCGACCGCCGCTTGTCTGCGAAGTTAGTGCCAACTTTA